GGAGTCCAATGAGGATTGTGTTGGGGTCCGCCCAGAATTATGGGGCCAAAAAGCAGCCAGGCATGGAGCCACTGCGCGCTTGCTTCACTAACCCCCCCGCGCCACAAGTGTTACTTCAGCAAATTATTGCCAAAGTAGGAGAGAGGTGAGTCTGTCCACCGCACTGATGCGGTGCTTGGACCATCTCATCGTGTCTACAAATGAACTTAGAAGTGGAGCATTACCTTTTAGTCCCTGGCTCAGGTCATAAAAACCTGCTTGGCCCAGAGCCCACATGATGGTTAAACACCTGACGGGATGATTCTGCACTGAGCGCAGCAACTCCAAATACTGAGGAGGAAAGAGTGACCTGTTATTTTATTTTTTTTATTTATTATTATTTTGTTAAAAAAACAAAAAACAAAACCATAATAATAAAATGGTGCTCGACTCACCTCGGGCAAATTCTGAGTTGCCAGTTTGGGTTTGTCTTGTAGGACCGCTTGAATGCAAACTCTGTATCCGTGCAGTGGCTCACCTGGAAAAAACAAAGTGGCAGAAATATCGTCCCAAGGCACGTTCAAAGTTGACTGATCAAGACAGATAACTGACTATTTTGTAAGCCCCGCCCCCCTACCCGAGTGCCTCTCCAGTTCTCGGAGCATGCTGTAAACACAGTGGTCCAAGAAGTCCGGCAGGGAGTCGGTGCAGTTGGCAAGAATGCCTTTGATGACAGTCCTCAGCTCCTTGTTCGTAAGACAGTATGGGTAGTCTGAGGAGCCGCGAAAAGACGCCATGAAAATACTGTCACTCGTGACAAAATTCATAAGCGGACACGCACGTGCACACAAACACACACACACCGTGAGCATAACTGCTGAGTGTCGGCTCTGCCACCGGCGCCGTCAGCTTGAAGTTGAGGTATCCTGCCAGGTCTTTCGACCACACCGACGGGTTTTTGGGGAACAGCGACTGACTCTTCGCCATCTGTTCTTTCAGGTCGGCGAGGTCCAGCTAACGGCAGACATCGGGAGACATGAATGCCGCACATCAAACAAAGAGCCAATTGAGCAAAAGCTCCACTGGGATGCAGCATGTGATCGTGTGCCTCACAGCATCTCGCGTGCTAGCTTTTTTTTGTCTGGTGCATGATAGCAAAACGGTTCCACAAAGATACATGTTATCCAAGCCTTATCTTAGACATGGAGAAGATACACAGATAGATCCTCCTGTATTTTAACAACTTTAAAAGACACAAAATGTGGCATTCTGAGACAGTCCAAAGCTCCTAAAAAAACCTCAAATGTATCCTAAGATTTCGGGTACTCACCGCTTTAAAGGCCTCTTGCAGAGTCCTGTGAGTGGCAGTGGTGGGAGCACTTTTGGGGGACAACTTTTTGGATGATTTTGTCGAAGAGGACTTCTTATTTTGAGGCTGACTGGGCGGAACCTGCTCCTTGTTCTGTTGCTTTGAAATCTTCTCGAAGGCTTCAAACAAAGTGTCCGACATCACCGAGGGTTCTGGGGGGCACAAGGCAGTAGTGATCGGGTCTCTGCGGATAGGCCACACTCAATACTCTCAATAGCACTTGGTCTGACTGTGTGTGTGTGTGTCTGTGTGTGTTAAGAGTCATGAGCGTGTTGCAATCCCTGCCCCTTTTCTTGCTCCCGCCCCTCACAGGGCTGATTTTATCCTCATAATGAAGTGGGATTATTCAGGACAAAATACAGGCAGTACAAATTATACACACAGTCTTAATATTGTGCAACTGGGAGGAGAGATTGACTGCATCATGCAGACTAACTTTTTTGGGAGGATGATGCTGATTTTCTGCAGGAAAAAAAATATATAGATGAACAACTAATCGGACGATTCTGAAAATGTCCCTTACCGTAAACTGTGAATGTTTGTCTATGTGTTTCCTTCAATTGGTTACTGCCCAGTCCTGGGTGTATCCTGCCTTTCACCCAATCAACTGCGATAGGCTTCAGTTAACATGAGACCCCCATGAGGGTAAGCGTGTAGAAAGTGCAGCTCGATAATGGATGCAAGTGCTTGCAGTCACTAAATTACATTTGCGATCCGCTCTGCAATACTTTGGTCGCACTGATTAAATGACAACATGGTTATCATATTGAGGTCATATCTGTTTCCATTTTTTTCTAATCATGCTTAACAGATGCAAACTCGGAATGATGACGTTGCCTCTCTTGACACATCACGTCGGTGCTAGCTGCAGAATCGAGACGCGGAGCAACACATAATACATTTCGAAATTATGGCAAAGCCATTAACTCGAGTATCATTTAGAAAGTAAATTGTTCACGTATGGAAAAACAACATGGAATCCTTAATAGATAGGAAGTACAGCCTGACGCTGAGCTGGCTAGTTAGCTAGCTAGCCAGCTAATTTCCGGGCGCAGATCTTTAACAGTATATGATTTAATCTTTAATAGACAGCTTTTGGTTGTTGGAATCGAATGCACTGCACAGCTACATCCGTCGCTCCGAACTTCAATTCGAGACGACCCTGCTAAGACTGTGAACTCCAACGGCCACAGCGGGCCGTGGTGACTTACGTCTGGATGGCAGGTTGGACTCCCCCAGAGCTTTCCTGTTCCCGGAGTTGCCTTTCTTTTCCGCGGAGCTTTTACCACCTCCCGTACTGCTTTTCTTGCCTTTCTTCACTACCTCCCATTTACCGACCGCACCATTACTCGAGGCCATGATCCCGATCCCGATCCCAATCAATGCCCTGACTGCCTAACTGCGCACTGTCAGTGAATGAAAGAGGCTGTGAAGTGCAAGGAGCAGTTGGTCATATGAACGTCAACGTGCCACGTCCCCTTACGCACATGACGTCAACACGCAACTGTCCTATTTACTATGACGTTGTCCATTCTTTGTTAGCACCTTTCAAGATGTCTTTGTTGTCATGAGAAAAATGTCTTACAATACTTACATTTTACATATTTGTCTCACTGAAAGACTCGTCATAACATTTTGAGATGCAATTTGTAGAATTAAAATCAAAATAAAACTAGCCATAAAAACCACCATCTTCACTCACTTTGTTTCCATTTAAATGACGTGTGTAGCAAAGCTAAACTCGATTTCCCTTCATGGTTAAAAAATCTCTCTATATGTAGATATATATTTTCCTTATTTTAATGATGGGATGCATATACAGTCTCACGTGTTCTCCCTGTTTGTAGTAACATGACCTTGTTATAAAAGCATGATAACAAATTATATTTCTGTCACGCAGGATGTATTATTTAATAATTTATTCTAGTATTACAAAATGCAAAGACAATGGTTTCTTGCTTTTCACCTACTCAGATGCTTTATTTAATTCCAACACAAATCCAGATGTTGATCATGATCACTTGGAGAAAAACTGAGCAAAAAAAAAAAAAAAAAAGGTCCAACTAATTTAGACCATCAGCCAGGCTGCCAGTGACAACATACCACACTGTGGCATTTTAGTGCTATGGATTACATGATAACTCAATTAAATACAGCAAAAATAATAACAGATAGCAGCTAAAATGTTGATCTTAAAATAGTCAACCATTAGTAATTTAGTAGTGTCTTCGACCCACGTTGGCCTCCATTAATAAAATTAAAACCCTGACGTTTGTCTGTTAAATTAAAATTCACGATGACAACTCAGACTTGGCCTTTTTTAAGCAATCCAATGCAGATATACATTTGAAAAAAAAAAAAAAAAGAAACCTAAGCTACAAAATATAAAATTGCATCTTGTATATTTCTGGCTGCAGCCAATCACTGCTGGTTGGCAATTCAGATCACATGTGTGGGCTTCTTTCGCTACTTTAGTGCAAGACTTTCAATCCCAAACCACCTTTTTAATTTTTTTTTCCAAAAAAGTGACCAAGCTGATTAAAAAAAGATGAATAAATAAAATCATAAATACATCAGGCTTCCTCAAAAACAAGCTATCAAACTGTTTTTTTTTTTTTTGTTTTTTGTTTTAATCCACCAAGGCTTTGTCTTTAAACTTGAAATTACGGCCTTTTTTTTGTTTTTTATGTATGTGCATGTGAGTAAATTGTGATATGTCTGCAGGCTACTTGTACATCGCCACTATGCAAAATATATTCATTTGCATCACTTATGTTCTCACCTACACCGCCATCACCCACACGGAAGATTCGACAACTTGGGTAACATTGTAGAGAAAACGTGTGGTTCCATAAAACAGCAAAAATGCAGCAAATTCAAATGACTGTTTCTGCATATGGTTGACAATTAAAGTGCACGGTGAAAAAAAAGCCGCCTGCATATCCCACCCCCACACCCCCCCCCCTTCACACACACCCAAACACCCACCAACACACAAA